GAAGGAATTAAGGAAGGAAAGAAGGAAGGAGTAAGGAAGAAAAAAAAAGGAAAAGAAAAAGACCTTCCCTAGTTCGAGTGAGAAAGGAAATTACCGAGCCCTGCCCCTCAAGGTTCGCCTTGACCTCCACATTGAGCTCCTGCTTGCACCAGCCTCCCTAGCCCCTTCACCTGCCTTGCCTCATCCGTAACGCTCTCTGTTGCACCACTGAGACCAGTCATCTACAAATAGTTTAAAAGCCACCAGTTTAAATGAACATCTTCTTTTTACAAATAAGGAAAATGAGACTTGGTGACTGAATCACATTCTTCTTTAGCATTCTAAATTCTTCCTTCAAAAGTAAAGCATTTTTTCTTTGTTTCTTGTTACATAGTAAATGACTCTGTACAGTCTTCTCCAAAAGAATTTTATTATGAATCCAGATCACCATTGTTCAGCAAATTCTTCTTACGGTTAAACCACCATAATTTAACTTGACTCATATAAGTGTCTTCCAACAAAACAACTTTTAAAATATAAAAATTTCATAAGTACTGCTTTCCTGTTACAAAAAATACATAATTTACTTAAAAATGTAAAAAACAACATTGACCTTTATAATCTCAAGTCTAAAGTTTGCTCTTGTTATTATGAAGACACAGAGGTAAATTAAAAGAAGATATCAATTAACATTGTCACATGAAACAAAGACCTCCTTATCCAAATGGGGAAGATGTAGGTGTGGTTACTGAATACATAACAGAAGCTCTATCTACCAAAAAGCAGACACACAGTTATTGATCTGGAATTGGCACAATGACAAACTGCTCTGCAAATCTTCCTCTTCCCAATTAAGGTGTCTCTCTTGAATTGATTGAAAGCTATTTGACAAGTATACTTTTTTTCCAAGATAGTGCTCAGTTGGGGGTCTTTTTATTAAGCTGAAATTCCATCATTAGCTTTGACTGGCACCAGGTGCTGTATAAATTCTGTGTTGATGTAGACCTCCACTGGCATTCCAAATATTGCAGGTGACTCTCTGACTCTAAAGTCCTCAATCATGCAGTATGAATAATTAACATCTGATAAATGCAGAATAGAAAAACTCTCATTAGAAGGCACAGTAGTGGGGTCATATCCTCACCTCAGTTCCTCAGAACACTAAACCAAATAGGACTTCAGTTGTTAAAAAATTTTTAAAAAGCGTTTCTAAATCTCTCCACTTTGCACTTTTTCCCTGTACCTAAGAAGAAATGGGAAAGTTAGGACACGAAATGAAATCTTTTTAGTCTTGCAGCAAAGTTAAAGATAGAATCCAAGATCCATTCTAATAGATGTTTACTTGAGTGTTCTAATTCCAGATCAATTTCCACGAGTTTGGGGCTTGTACCAGTCATAATTGTTCTTCCTTGTAAATAGTTCACAGTCTATCACTACTTTAACACAAAAGAGAATTTTTCTTATTTATGCATCTAGTATTATTTCTGTGAGATATACGACAAAAATACAGCACAAAAAAAGTTATAGAAAAGTCCTTTATAATGTTGAATTGATAAAAACATCTACTTTGTGTACTAGGTATGCCTAAATATATTCAGTATGTTCAGAAGATAAGTTTTAAATTATGATAAACTTGAATCCATGAAATAATGAAATACATCTAAATCAAACATGCCATGATAGTACTGTGGTTGAGACCAGAATGTTATAGAGTTCAATTCCTGAGCCTCAGTTTCTTCATCTATAAAATGGGAATAATATTAATATAAGCTTATGGGGTTAATTCAAGCACTGAGAAAATGAATATATGGTATTGAGCATAGCACACTATATTCAGTTTCTATTGCTGCATCAAAAATTACCACATACTTAGTGGCTTAAAATGACACCCATTTATTTTCTCAGGATTTCTGCAGGTCGGAGCATGGCTTACTTAGATGCTTCCTCTACTTAGATTCTCACAAGACTGCAATCAAGGTGTCGACTGGACTGTGTTCTCATCTGGAGGCTCAGCTGGGAAAGAAACCCCTTCCAAGCTCCCTCACATTCTTGGCAGAATTCATTTCCTCGAGGCTTTAAGACCAAGGATTCCAGCTTCTTCCTGGCTATTGGCTGGAGGCTGCCCACAGTTCCTCACCATGTAGGCTTCCCCAACATGGCTGCTTACTTCATCAAGCCAGCAAGATCAGTCTCTCAGATGAGTCTTCCAGCAAGACAGTTCTTTATTATGTAACACAATCCTAGAAGGAATATCTCATTACTTTTACCATGTATTATTAGTTAGAAACAAATCACAGGCCCTACTCACACTCAAGAGTAAATAAACATCAGGAAGTAGGGCTCGTTGGGGGCTACCACAGAGTCTGTGTCTCACACAGAATAAATGAATGTGTGAATGAATGAATGAATGAATGAGTGAGTGGATGAGTGAATCTGAGTACAAACTTAGATATGAAGAGAGTAAGCCATAGACCACTTACACATCAGAAAACATGGGAAATAGTT